GGTTAGATAGGTTTCTTTGGCTGGTTAGGTCAGGTTTCTATTAGGCTCGGTGCATTGTCGTATCATTTTTATTACTAAAATCCAAAGAACATTAATGAAATGTAAAACATGTTCTGGTGTTAGCCATCTACTCCAAGATTACCATAATTTTACCTAACCTATTGGCAATTTTGTGTCATTTCGTGAAAAACCAAACCGTTAAAAATTGGTAAAGTACAACCATGAAACTCTTATTATGAGTTTGATATAGGGAGATAAACCAGACAAAAATACAATACAGGTATAGTGTTTTCATCTCGAGGTTCATATTTCAAAGTTACAGGTATACTTTGCAACACAAATGTTTGTTCTGCGAAAATTCGCTTACACAAATACGTATTCAATTCTTGCACCTCGTGGTCACTTAAGGTAATGTACCAATTTTATATTTCAAAATTTATTAATGTGCTTGACGCTATATTACAGTACTGGTTAGTTGTGAAATTAGAGTGCTGTATTTAAGTACATACAGTACTAATTTACAGTGGTTAGGTAGGTTTTTTGTTGTTTGCAAACCTATTTAATTTTTTTAAGTATAATATTGAGGTTTTCTTGTCATTAGGAACTAAATCATATTTTTTTTCCATACGTAATGTTAGGTTTTCAAGAAACCTAACCCATGAGGGATACCTGTACTGTACATTATTTTGAATTTTCGATTTCGGTAAAGAAAATATAATTTGGAGGGTTTTAAGTTCACACTATGAATGTTTATGGGATACTGTATATTGTTGATTTCTTACTCACTTCAATATACTGTAAATATGTCCAGCCAATCAGTGGAACTTGAGACCCACTAATCTCCCACCCAACAAGGGGTGACCTGACATTGCATCAGGTCAGTAATACGAGACCACTAATCCCCCATCTCAGGTCCACCTGACATTACATTAGGTCAGGTCAGTAACATGAGACCCACTAATCCCCCATAGCTCCGTGCAATTGGAAAATACCAGTCTTCACCACAACACAGCTTCATTCACGAGGTGACTCGCACACTCATATCATATTGATTTTTTGTGTTTTTAAATATAGTTATTTAACCAAACTTTTAGGTGAACTATTTAGGATTATTGTAGTCAAGAAATGGAGTTTATAATTTAATTAGAATTGCTTTTACAGACTTTCAGAAAACTTTTCCCAGCACCCAGAAACATTCTGGGGATGTGGGCTAGTGTCTGTCTGTGCAAGATGCATAGTTTAGACTCTGGGAATGTTTCTCAGTAATCGGAAAAATTCTGGGGATAAGGGATTTTTCGGGGTTTGAGAAAGTTGTCCTCCATCCCCAGAAGTGCTCTGCACCAATTGTTCCAGCTAATGGGGATATTACTGATTATAAGTGGTTTCGAATTAGCGGGGGGAATGTATTATGGGGTTTTTGCTGTACTACAGTACATTAAACTAATAAGTAAGTTAAGTGTGACGTGTCAAATGGGGGGATTGGAAGAATTGTGTGTAAGTTTGTACTGTACACTGATATATTACAGTATACAAGTAGTACCGTACATACAGGCAGTTGATTCTGGGAGTACCTAGAATCTATCTTGGGGGTTATTCTGGGATCATGTACTGGCATGCAGATAAAGATGATGGACTTGACAACACATGTCATCTGTTAACAATGAGGCACCTTATTTTTTACTTTTTGTCTGAAATTAACTGCTTTTTCAGCCTATTGAAAAAAAATAGCCTTAAAAAAGAGAAAATATGGGATTCGGGAACAGAATTCAAGAAAGAAATGGGTAAATTTTAAGTTAAGCTGTCAGCTTATTAAATAACAAGCTTACAAAAAAGTTGTTCAGCATTGATTTTAGAGTTTGAACGGTAACAGTTCTTTGGTTTTATTTCAAACGATTGTACAGTCTCATTCATGATTCTTCGAACACTGCTGGAAACAGCTGGCAACTCAAATTAACAGTACCGGGTATATACTGTACCAGCAGAAAAGTATAATATAATACAAAACAACAAAGACCAACCATTAATTAAGCAACGGGAAACTAAGTAACCAATCACCGATCACTTTTACATTCATTTATAATTTTTACTACGTACTATAGTAAACACAAGTGATCGTGGGCACCTTTGTGCCCAGTGGCGAGTCCGGTGGTACAGTTTACCGAGGCGTGAAAGTTCGAACGCCCATGCATGGCTAGCGCGCAACCGCCGTCCGGCTGACAGCAAACAGCGACATCGTTTTCCAGCGTAAATAAAATGGTTAATTAATGCCTTCATAAAGAAACCATCGACATGGGAAAAGGTTTGTTCCACTCTACGAATTTTTTGCGATTTTTCCACCAAGTTTGATGAAAAACGATTGTGCCGTTTCGGCTGCCCAGAACAGACACACACACACACACACAGCTATTCCTATAGTATATTAGATAGGTGGTCGTGGTTGTTATAGTCATGGTCGTGGTTGTTATAATCATGGTCGTGGTTGTTATAATCATGGTCGTGGTTGTTATAATCATGGTCGTGGTTATGATCATGGTCGTGGTTGTTATGATCATGGTCGTGGTTGTTATAATCATGGTCGTTGTTGTTATAATCATGGTCGTGGTTGTTATAGTAATCATGG